TAAACAAAAAAGAAAAGAAGATTAGGCAAAACAAATACTCAAGCAAGCTTTCTCTTTGGTTTCTGAAGCAAGAAGACAAATTGGATCAAAGCCTTCAATATGGCCCATGGCAGGCACAGTTTGTACATTCAAAGAAAGAAGACAAAAAGTCAGCAACACAGAAACAAGCAAAAGAGAAAATAGAAGAAAATGAAGATTATGGGTACGTGGGTTACCACGCGAAATATGAGAGAGGAAGAAACAACTTGTTTCTTCTTTTGATGATGCAGCAGAAGGCCTAGGGAGGTGTACGAACTGGTCCGGAACAACAAAAAAATATCAAATGCTCTCGTTTTGATTTCTGGTGGTCTCAAGTTGTGGTACACATATACCCCTTTTAAAAGAAATTCATATAGCCTAATCCTGTATGAACAAGGGGCTTACTGCTTTCCTGGATGCGCAAGGGGTTCCAATGCAATAAGGAGGCTAATTCATACTTCACTTGGAGAAGGATTTTTATCCTTGGGTGTCTTGGTCAAATTAAAAGACATTTGCTTTTGGCACCAAACCGTAAAAGAACCAGCTGGAGTAAAGGCACTAATCAAAAATCAATTGGGACTAGCATAGTAAACACCTCTCTCAAGACCCAATGATCTCAAATACAACAGGCTCGTTCATAACAAGTCTTAGGCCCAATGGGCTTGTCCATTAAAAATCCAATTGGTGAATTTTTGGTGCAAAGTCCCAAATTCACAAATTATGGATTAATTGGCTCAAATAAAAAAAGTCTCATTAATTCCCAAATTGTCTAGTGAAGACTCAAGTGGTACAAAACCACACCAAATCTCAAGTGGTACAAGACCACACCAAATCCAGAGTGGTACAAAACCACGTCAAAACCCCAAGTGGTACAAAATCCAACAAAGGCCCGAGTGGTACAAAACTACACAAATTAAACAATCTTTTTGGAACTACGTCGGTTTGATCCCATCAAGTGTACGAAGGCAGTCTAGCATCCCACTAGACGCAATTGCAACCAAATTTGAATCCTTGGTTTATTTTAACTAAATTCGCCAAAACACTTTTCCAAGTGCAAATGTCAAGTTTAGAAAATTAGTGGGTTAATCGAAATTGCTCATTATTTTTCTTGGACATTAACAATAAGAAAAATGATACATGCAAATTTCAATGAGATTAAATTCAAATCTCTCAAACACAAATTCTCAGTTAGTGGGCCACACTTACCTCTTAATTTCCAAATTTCAGCATCTCCAAATTGTCTCAAAGACACAAATTCTTAATTAGTGGGCTACACTTACCCATTAATTTTCAAATCTTAAATCCGAACAGAATCCCTGGTTTATTCTTAACCAAATTCACCCCCAAACATGATTCCATATCGAATCCCTGATTTATTAAACTAAATTCACTCAAACACTTCTCAATATAATTCAAATCAAATTACCCTCGCAATGAGTCATTTATTCATTGCAATTCTTTGAACTACGAGTGGCTTTATTCCCGCAAGAGTTCATTGCAATTCTTTGAACTACAAGTGGCTTTATTCCCGCAAGAGATATGTAGGCATCCTGAGGTTCAACTTAGGGGCAGCAGCAAAACCAAACACACACATTTTGTTTCTTTATTATAGAATCAAAGGGTGTTCTCTTGAAGTAAAGGATTGTAATCAAAGGGTGTTCCCTCAAATGGATCGAACCTAAAATAATAAAACTTCATTATTTAATTAGTGGTGGTGAAATTATATTGGAAGATTCATATTTTTCTTCAACATTTAGTCAGAGTTAAGAAAATCTTTGGGTTGAAAACAGAAACACTGCAAAACAAGCAACCGATTAAACAGAATCTGTCCTTTTCTTGCAATCAGTTCAGTCTACTGACTACTATTCAGTGGTGTGAGATATGGTCTTGGCGCGCAGCCAGATGCTTCCAAATTCCATCTCCATGGACCATGCATCATCCGAAAAATAGACACAATCAATGCGTAAATTTTCCACGGCATGTGGCCATGGACTGCAACGTTATTGGAACCCGCCAAATGACTCTCGACGGGCCAATGCCATGCGCACCAGTCTTTACGGCACAAGAATTTGACATGCATATATCCTTTTCAAAGTTCAACTTGGTAAGTAATTGGAAATTATACAGACGACTTCAACATAGAAAAACGGATGGGACATTTGCATCAACAGACAAATTACTAAAGATGAGGACATCCTCTAGGCTAGCCCCCTGAGCCACGGCGTGACCCTACCAGTCCTCATTCCTTACATGGATAATATGCTTACAAAAGGCCAGGCTTGTTAGCAGTTTATTCACTCATAATTCAACAAACATATAGTTTTGTAGAATATAAACCACACTACACGGAATTAAGTTGTAGATATAGTATACCATGCCATTCTTACATGAGAGGATCCTTATTATGCAAGTCTCCTTGGTAATGGCGGCGGCGGCGGCGGCTACTGCAGCTCAATTAACTCTACTAAACTGGCAGGACAAGTGCGGAGATATCACAATTCCATACCCATTTGGCGTTACTGAAAAGTGTTCCATGGGACTTGAGTTTTTCATCAGTTGTGCGGCTAACGGAACAGCATTCTTGGGCACAACAAACACTCATGTTACCAACATATCCGTGGATCTCGATGAGATCCAAGTACAGCAGTACAGGGCCTATGACTGCTACGACGAGCTGGGCAACAATACCTACAACATCCCGAAGTTCCGGGTGGATCCTCCTTACACCATCTCCGGTACCAAAAACAAGTTCATGGCCGTTGGTTGCGATACTTATGCGACTTTTAGAGGCTACCGTGCAAACCAAGAAAGATTCATCACCGGTTGCATGTCCTTGTGTGACAGCCTCAACAGTGTTGAGCAAGACTCTTGTTCTGGCATCGGGTGTTGCCAAACTTCCATCCCCGACGGTCTTAAAAATCATACTGTGACGTTGAGAAGCTATTACAATCATACGTATGTTAGGAGCTTTAACCCCTGCAGCTACGCCTTTGTTGTGCAAGAAGGCCACTTCAGATTCTCCAATACAAGTTTTCAACAACTCTCCTCCACAGTGCGGCTTCCAATGATCCTTAACTGGGAAATTGGAAAAGAGCCATGCGATGCAGCTCAAGAGGCGACCCAGAATTCTTTATGCAAGGCACATAGCAAGTGTGTCAACCCCAATAATCGCTCTACAGGTTACATTTGCAAGTGCTTGCCAGGTTATGAAGGGAACCCTTACCACCCCAATGGTTGCCAAGGTATGTACCAGATTTTGCAAAGAATAGGATCCCTCTTCTAAAGCTCTATGTAATATTACATAGATAGTTTTGCAAGGTGTACATGTAGTCCTTTAAGTATGAACTTAAATATAGACGGTAATGCAGTATGGGCATCCTTATTATAGAAAAACTGATGTTATAGCTCAAAATTGGGATGATGCACATGAGTTTTATTTTCTTTTCAAATATTGATGAGTGCAAGGCTCCAAACTCCGGCAGTACTGGAGTGTGCGTAAATTCCCCTGGAGATTATTCTTGTAAATGTCCCATAGGGTATAAAAACGACGGCATGAATCCAAAGATTTGCATCAAAGACAATCGATCAAAGAACATTCTCCTGCTTATCATTTCATTAGGTACGTATGCTTTATTTACATGTTAACATGCACCCTATATATGATCATAGCCAAAAATTCGAACTTTAATCTATTTTTATTTTTAACAGCTAGCACCCATATTTATGTTATTTATCTTTTTCATCCAAAATTCTAACCTAAGCACTATCTAGACTACAGAAGCAACATCTATCATTGAAAGTTGAAACAGCCCAATTAATGTGCCTCATCAAAAGTGCTAGGTGAAGTTGATTATTGGGTTCCTAAGATTTTTTCAATTTGTTTGGTGATTCGGTTTAGATTGAATTCGAGCTGAGTCTAAGTCCGTCCTAAAGTCTCACTCTTTTAGGTGGGACTTGTAAGACACAATATGTTGGCATGCATGACTCTTGTCTATTTTAAGTCAAGTCCAGTGCCACAACCTGGAATATCTCAATTAATATATGCTCTGTATATATTTGCTTTTCTTTTAGTTCCCCACCCTCAGAAATATTAGATAAACATGTAAATTAATAAAATCAAGTTTAGTTGTGATTTTCAATTATGTGCAGGTGTCAGCGCAGGGTTATTGATTTTACTGGGGGCAATTTCATGGTTATATTGCTGTCTGCAAAGAAGAAAGTTCATCAAACTCAAAGAAAAATACTTTAAAGAAAGTGGTGGTTTATTGTTAGAACAACACCTTGCTAGCCAAGGAGGCTCTATGGAGACAACCAGGATCTTTACTGCAGAAGCACTTGAAAAGGCCACAAACAATTACCATGAAAGTAGAGTCCTTGGCGAAGGAGGCTATGGAACTGTTTACAAAGGAATATTACCAGATAACAAAGTGGTTGCCATAAAGAAGTCCAAAATTGGTGCCTCAACCCAGAAGGAGCAGTTTGTTAATGAGATGATTGTTCTTTCTCAAATCAACCATAGAAATGTGGTGAGGCTATGGGGTTGCTGTTTAGAGACACCAGTTCCGTTACTAGTTTACGAGTTCGTCACCAATGGCACTCTTTTCGAGCACATTCATAATATAAGGGACAAAAGATCATCACTTCCATGGGACTTACGAATGAAGATAGCAACAGAAACTTCAGGAGCACTAGCATACTTACACTCCTCAACTTCCATGCCAATCATACACCGGGATGTCAAAACAACGAACATACTGTTAGATGAAAATTACAGAGCAAAAGTGTCATTGAAAATGATGCGAGTATTGCTTGTAATATTAATATTCTTAGGGGCTGCAATTACAACAGCAGCAGCTCAAGCTTTGCCTCAAGCCCTGCCTGGCTGCCAAGACAAGTGTGGCAATTTAACAGTCCCATACCCATTTGGCATAACTGATGGTTGTCAAAAGGAAGGCTTTCCTTTCTTCACTTGTAACACGTCCACCCAACCCCCAAACCTGCTCTGGGACGGAGATTCCATTGTCTCCAACTTTTCCCTTGCTGAAGGCGAGATGCAATGGCAGCAATACATATCCCAAGATTGTTACGATAAGCAGGGTTTTAAGACCTTCAACAACAACCCTTGGGTCGAGCTGCCATCTCCTTTCACCGTCTCCAATACCAAAAACAAGTTCATTGCCGTTGGTTGCGACACCTACGCATTTTTCACAGGCTACCGAGGAGATGACCAGCTCATAACTGGTTGCCTTACCTTATGTGACACCCTTGACAGCGTTGATCAGGAATCTTGCTCTGGCGTTGGGTGTTGCCAAACCAACATCCCCATTGGGCTGAAAAATACTACTTTGACGTTGGACAGCTACTACAACCATACAGATGTATGGAGCTTTAACCCCTGCAGCTATGCCTTCTTTGTGGAAGAAGGCCACTTCTCGTTCTCCAACAAAAGTTTTGACGAGCTGAAAAACAAAGACACGCTTCCAGTGATTCTTAATTGGGCAATTGGGGATGAAGAAGACCCATGTGATGAAGCTCAAAAGAGGCAGGATTTTGTATGCAAGGGAAATAGCACATGTGTCAACCCCATCAATCGCTCTGGTTACATTTGCCGCTGCTTGCAAGGTTACCAAGGGAACCCCTACCACCCAGATGGTTGCCAAGGTGAGACATCTTTACCTAATGTTTGAATTAATTAATATGGGTAAATGAATTTCTGTTTGAATATAAATATATATTAAATTCCGGATTTTAATTACCATTGATCATGTGTGACATGTGGGTTTCTTTTCTTTTTAGATATTGACGAGTGTAAAGCTGCAATTAATCCCTGTAACAATGGAGACTGCGTGAATTTACATGGAAATTACACTTGTTTATGTCACAAAGGGTACAAAATGGACAGCATCAATGGAACGACGACTTGCGTGAAATACAATCCTTCATCGAAGAACATGACCCTGAAAATTTCATTAGGTACGTATATATAGCTAGCTATTAATTAGCACATATAAGTTGGTTGTGATTAATGCTCTGTATGTATGTGCTTTTCTTATTATCAATCTATCTTTAATTCCCCACCCTCAGAAATATTAGATAAACACGTAAATTAATAAAATCAAATTTAGTTGTGATTTTCAATTATGTGCAGGTGTCAGCACAGGGTTATTGATTTTACTGGGGGCAATTTCATGGTTATATTGCTGTCTGCAAAGAAGAAAGTTCATCAAACTCAAAGAAAAATACTTTAAAGAAAATGGTGGTTTATTGTTAGAACAACACCTTGCTAGCCAAGGAATAGAGACAACCAGGATCTTTACTGCAGAAGCACTTGAAAAGGCCACAAACAATTACCATGAAAGTAAAGTCCTTGGCGAAGGAGGCTATGGAACTGTTTACAAAGGAATATTACCAGATAACAAAGTGGTTGCCATAAAGAAGTCCAAAATTGGTGCCTCAACCCAGAAGGAGCAGTTTGTTAATGAGATGATTGTTCTTTCTCAAATCAACCATAGAAATGTGGTGAGGCTATTGGGTTGCTGTTTAGAGACACCGACTCCTTTACTAGTTTACGAGTTCGTCACCAATGGCACTCTTTTCGAGCACATTCATAATATAAGGGACAAAAGATCATCACTTCCATGGGACTTACGAATGAAGATAGCAACAGAAACTTCAGGAGCACTAGCATACTTACACTCCTCCACTTCCATGCCAATCATACACCGGGATGTCAAAACAACGAACATACTGTTAGATGAAAATTACACAGCAAAAGTGTCAGACTTTGGAGCTTCAAAGTTGATTCCTGTGGATGAAACTCAACTAACAACTTTAGTGCAGGGGACACTCGGATACTTAGACCCTGAATACTTCCTTTCAAATCAACTTACGGATAAGAGTGATGTTTATAGCTTTGGAGTTGTCCTAGCAGAGCTACTAACAAGTAGAGTAGCACTTTGTTTTGACAGGCCTGAGGCAGAGAGAAACCTAGCAAGCTTCTTTGTTTGTTCAGTGGAGGAAGATCGCTTGACTCAAATTCTTGACGATGACATAGTCAACGATGAAAATATTGAGACTCTGAAACATGTGGCCATTCTCGCGAAAAGATGCTTGAGGTTACAAGGGGAGGAAAGGCCTACAATGAAAGAGGTAGCCTTGGAGCTAGAAGGCATGAGAATTATGGCAAAGCATCCATGGGGGAAAGCTGATTGTCCAGAAGAGACTGAGCACTTGCTTGGTTCACGCAAGTCAGATGCTTATCGTGTGGATGTTACGGCAGCAGATTGTGGTCATCCTAGTGGTACAAGCAGTGGATATGACAGCATGCAAATCCAGACGTTAATGGCATATGGTGATGGGCGCTAATCGATTGCTAGGGTCTAGTTGCGATGTATGCTAGAAATAAACCAATATGTTGTTCTTTGTTGGTCTTATTGGTTATGTTATGAATTCAAGATGTGTTTTCTGCCAGTGATATATGATGAGTTGAGAAATTATCCTTTTTACAAAAATGACCCCAGACTTAATCAAATCTACCATTTTTTTAATTTTCTAGAAACCAGTAAAGGTTGATAAGTTCTTGGAGGTTTACCGGTCAACCTTTTCCTTCTTTTA